ATATGTATATGTATATATATATACACAATGTTTTGCAATCATAAAACTTCTAAGTATAAAGTGCTTTAAACATTAGTTGTTGAAATAATTTCAGACTGTAATATTCATAACATGATATGCTAGAAATATGCATTGAAATATTAACCTCTTCACAAGTATCTGACTTTTAAAATGTTCCGTGAGTCAGAAATAGATCTATAACACTCATGTAATTGTTTTATTATTTGGCTTTTTTTCCCTCCAGGTTATCCTTGGATGACAAACTTTATAAAAGAGATTTGGAACTTGCCTTAGCCTTATCTGTCAAAGGAAAAGCTTCAAACATCCTTGAGGTGCAAAATTCAGAAGAACAAGGTTATTTTGCATCACTGCAACACTTTATTTATATGTACTGAATTTGAAAATTACAAATTTATTTTACAGTGAAACAGACTGAAAATTTTTCTTTAGACTGAAAACATTTTATTTCAAGATGTCATGATAAGAAAACAACAATTCCTGGGTAGTGCCTGTGTTATGCTGCTGGGGATTTTTTTCTGTGAGAAAAGTAATTCTTTTGTAAGGTCTTCCAAACATGTAATTTGATTAGAGACAGATGAAAACTTTAGCTATTTTCATTTCTGAATATTTTTACTTTTTATAATGTGTTTTTTGCATACTAATATTTTACATGTTTTATTTGGGGTTTTTTTCTGGATCTTAAAGCAGGTAAGAATATTGAACCAGAAAAGATACAGAGGAGACCCTGTTTTTCCAACTGCAGTGTAGACAGTGAACTTCTAGGTAAGTTGCTCTCATACTTTTGTCTTTTCAGAGAGAGCATTTAAGTAGCTTTTCTCTTTATTTCCATTAGTTTCTGCTTTGCACTGATGTGGAAAAGAGAGTCTTTATGTCAAATAAAGATTAAAGACTGAAGAATGTGTTAACTTTTTCATTCAATATTAAGTGCCTGCCTTAAAATGGGAACCTGTGGATTGCTGAGTGAGATTGTTACAGGTCACTAAAAGTTAGTTGCAACAGATGTGTGATGTTTTTAGATGATGAGTTTATTCAATTCTTCAAGAAGCTACACTTAGCCTCAACTCCTTAATGGGTCTGTAGTGCCTAAGGATCAACTGAACATGAGCAAACATTTGCTGTGCTGTTGCAGACTTCTTTGATCCATTTTTTTTGTTTGCTGTGCCTTTGTTAGCTTGATTACAGATAAAGGTTGATAAATTTCATGGTGAGAAAGTACAGTTTGGTTAGTTCAAAGAGTAAAATGAGAATCACATGAAAGCAAGTGTTGATGATATCTGTCTGTGTAGTATAATTCAAAATCTCAAAAATCAATTCTGGGGACTCAAACACCTGCTGCTTGTTGGGAAGGAGAATAGATTCACTGTGAATTCAATTAATTGAACCACTTTCTGGTTTTTAGGTCTCGATCGGGTTATGGATGAAGACATGCCCAGGGGTGATGGTAGGCAAAAAGCAGCAGTGTCCAAAGTTCCAGCACATCAGAAGAAGTTACTGACAGTTGACAGTGATGACAGAGAGCATGATACTGACTCTGAGCCAGAGTCTGTGCCCAGTAAGTTCTCCACAAAGCCTCTCTCATTAGGTGTGCTTTGGATGTGATGCCTCACATTTAGTTTGTATTTTCCATGAAATTCATTCTGCTTCAACTGTATTTTCCCTTCTTAGTGTAACATTGTCCTCTAATCCTGCTGACATCTCAGTTGCAGTTTCACACTCAATTTAAACACTGGAGCTTATTCATACACAGTCCCCAAACTGGCAAGAAATGATACTGTTTCTCTGACTTTGTATGTCAGGACAAATTTCTTCTGCACTCCTCATCCAGGAAACATTCATCTCTTTGAAGAGCCTCTCTTCATTTTTCCACTTGTTTTCTGGGGTTTGCACCCAGACAGTGCCTTTGGAGTAGTATCAGGTGTTGTTGCTTTCAATACTGGCTTTTTTTTAAGCTTGTTTAAAAAAGTGAGTATCCTCCCTTCTTTCCTTCCTCCAGTTCTCAGCTCTTAGACAACCAAGCTGACTCCATCTCTCTGTCATTCCCTGGTGGCTAACATGTCTGTATGAATATGTACTGCTCAAAGATGTAACAATCTCAGACCATACTTGTTATTTCTGCAGAGAGCTTTTGCTGAACAATGATCTGTCATCTTACATGATGATTTCTCTGCTTAGGAGTGTCTTTCTAAAGTCACTTTTGTTTTCCAACCAAGCATCACCTGTAGTTTCTCCGTTGCGGATAACGGAACAACAGTCTGAGCCAAGGCAAAAAGTGATGTCCAGTTCCTTGGAACCAGCTGGGAGCCCTCTACATGCATCAAGTCCTGTAACAGACAGAAAGCCTAAATGGATACCACCAGGTACATGTGAGATTGCAGCTATAAACAGGTGCATTAGTTGGCTGAAGTTTTTAATAATCTCTCCTCAAAGCCACCAAAAATAAACAATTTCAGAGAAATTCATGCTCTTTTGTAAAGAAAGGTTTTCTTTTGACAGATTTAAAACAAAAAAAGAAGGGAAGAAAAGCTATCTCATAGTTTCATAGTATGTTCAGGGTTTGGAATAGACCTTAGAAATCATCCAGTGCCAACCCCCTGCCCTGAGCAGGGACACCTCCCACCAGAGCAGGTTGCTCAAGGCCTCATCCAGCCTGACTGTGAACACTGCCAGGGTTGGGGCAGCCACAGCCTCCCTGGGCAACCTGTGCCAGTGTCTCACCACCCTCACAGGAAAAAACTTTTTCCTAATATCTAATCTAAATTTTCCCTCTTTCCATTTATAACCATCACTCCTTGTCCTGTCACTGCAGTTCCTAACAAAGAGTCCTTCTCTGTGCTGCTTTTACAGCATTATCATCAACCCCTTTATTGGGGGGAAGTTAAATAAAATATTTTCCATACTGTGGGTAAAATCTTAACCAAGAGATTGTTTTGTGTCCATTTCTCTCTTGTTTAGAGCTTTATTTGTCTCTGGTACATGCTGCATTACTTTCTGTTCGAAGTATTAGAAAAATGTTTGAGTGTTTTAACTGCTCTAATAAGCAAATGCTCAGCAGCTTTATTTGCTCAAGGTGTCTGAGCATGCTGCTGCTGCCTCCTGCTTCTTTGATTTTTCTTCATGTTTGCTCTTCTGTACATGTTTCTGTTTGGCTCCTTTCTCTCAAGCTGCCTTTCCCACTTGGAATTGTGTAATTCTCTGGGGAGTTCCTGAAAATGCACAGCACACAGGGAACAGCTTTTATGTGCAGTGTTGCTCTAGTGTGTTGCTAGTTAATTAAAGCTGTGCACTATACCTGCTGCACTGGCTTCCAATGGGATGGATTCCTGGTTCCTGGTGAGTATGTGGATTTTCACATGCTTCTGTGGTATGTTGTTCAGACCTTTTTGCAGTAACTTTAGAATACTTTCTTTGTTCTTCTAGGAAAACTATAAAGAAAACAGTAATATGATTTATTTCTCCCCTTAAATTTCTTATACCTTCTTTTTGTTTTAAAATTGTTTCCAGCTGCATCAGGAAGCAGTAATGCCTCTGTGAAAAATGCTTCTGTTAAGTCACCTACTCACTGCCTTAGACTCGGCCTCTCCAGACTAGCAAGAGTCAAACCACTGCATCCCAGTGCTACCAGCAGTTAAACAGACAGTGACAAGGAGCCATGGGAAGGAGGAGCCTGTGGAAAGTGTGTTGTTTATAAACAGAGGGCAAGCAGCATCATGACATCATCCATTTGGAAGGACTGTTGTTTATGGATGTGTCTGATGTTGTAATGGAATGTTTTTATTCTTCAAATTGCTAAGCATTCTTAAGTGCTACTGAATAATAATATTACTTAATCAAGGTGATATGTGGGTCACCAGCTCTTTGATGTTTTGTATCCAGAGATGTTGGTTTGTGGTCATTTTAATTCTCTGATAACTAAACTCTTAGCATAAAATATTCAAGGTGGCACTGTGTCAGTATGTATGATAGGTAAGTAGTTTTTTAATGTATTTTTTTAAAAACAAAATAAAATACTTTATATGTTCTGATTTTGTTTTTTGAATTTACTAATTTTGACAGTCCCTTTAAGTTTTGGCTGCAGTCTGGCAAGTATTTCTGCATGTGTATGCTCTTACTGGAAGTCAGCAGCATTAGCTGGACTCAGAGAGTGCAGATTTTCCTTGGAACTCCTTGGTCTTCTTTGAGGACCACGAGCAGCATTAGCTGGACTCAGAGAGTGTGGATTTTCCTTGAAACTCCTTGGTCTTCTTTGAGGACCATGATACCATGCCTAGTTACTGGTTTTGTAAAGCATTGAAGTGGTAGTTAATGAGGCTGAACTTTCACATTTACCAGTCCACAATCTAGATAATTTCCTATCTAAGCATATTAATTATTTTAGGATGACACAGCAGATGTATTTCTCTCTGTATTACTTGAGGGATCTGGTCATGACTCAGTGAATTGCATTAGCAAAGGAATATCATAGAATGGCCTCATTTGGAAAGGACCTTGTTCCCTCTGCCATGGGCAAGGACACCTTCCACCAGGTTCTCTTCTCCAAGTGCCATCCAGCCTGGTCTTGGACACCACCAGCCACAGCTTCTCTGGGCAACCTGTGCCAGTGTCTCATCACCCTCCCAACAGGTCAATGTCCTTCCTGTGCTGAGGACCCCAGAGCTGGATGCAGCACTCCAGGTGGGTCTCACCAGAGCAGAGCAGAGGGGCAGAATCCCCTCCCTCACCTGCTGCCCACACTGCTTTGGATGCAGCCCAGGACACAGTTGGTTTCTGAGCTGCCAGTGCACATTGCAGCTCATGTTCAGCCTCTCACCCACCAGCACCCCCAAGTCCTTCTGAGCAGGGCTGATCTCCCTCTGTTCATCTCTAGCCTGGATTGATATGGAGGGTTGCCCCAGCCCAAGTGCAGCACCAGCATGTGGCCTTGTTAAATCTCATGGTATTCCCATGGGCCACTTCTCAAGCTTGTCCAGGTCCCTCTGGATGACATCTCATCCTTCAGGTGTAATCTGTGCCTGTGAAAGGTTTCTATTAATGACTTCACTGACAGCTTGCAATTGGTTGTCTGTTTGCTCTTGCTGCATTATCAGTCTGGTTGCTATCATAAGGTAAAGATCACTATTTCAGCTTTCATTATTGCTGAAAAAAACCTGAGTTTAGTTTTGATTCATAAACTCTCTGAGTGTTGTTTGACTCAAAAGGTCTGAAGCCTGGCCTTCATTTCCCTGGGCTGTATTGGTTGTTCTCAGATACTCTCTTCATGTGAAAATCTGTATCTTTAGGGTGGCTAAATAGTAACTTAATGGTTCCTCAGAGCCATGGGATTTAATAGGGGAAACAACCCTTTTTCCCAGTATATTTTTAATGGGAGCAAAAATGCCCAAATGCAGTTTCCTGAGATCAGTTGCATCAGGAATTCCATAAACTGCTCTTTAATCTTCAACAGAGGGTTTGGGTGTAATTTGCTCTGAGCAGAAAAATGCAATCTGTCTTTCATGCCTGATCACTTCTGTTGTCTAACTTTCTTTTACACAACAGGCTCTAACGTATCATCGCAAACCACAAAGATCACAGACCGATGTTACCACTTCCTGCTCTCTGTATTTTGAAAGACTTTGTCCTGCTGCTTACAAAGAATTACTGCTCTGTCTCCACTCATGTGTGACATCGTTCTCTTGAGAGGAAGCCTGTGCTTATAAAAAAAAAATACTTCTTTGGATTAAGAGTTTCTGCTGTGCTGAGTTTATCCTCACACCCCAATTATTTACAGTGCTTGTGCACGTTGGAAATGAAGACTTTGAGCATGAGTTGTTCCTGTACATGTGGGATATTGAAAGTCTGAAATTTCTTTTTCTTAGGTTTTGTATTTTTCCCCACTATTTTAATTGTTTTTAAATATAATTATCTCAAAAATTAAAGATTAAATTAAAAAATTAAATTAAAAATTAAAGTTTTTCCTAGACTTGTCTGAATAAGAGCATGAAGGGACTTATAGCTTGACTAAGTGACCTTGAGTGTAAAAGTCAGAATCTACATGTTCCTTACTGTACTTAAGCTTCTCTCTGTTTAATGCTCAGGCATGTCAATTCCTCTCACCAAGTTCTTTTCCATAATGACAGTCCTTGGGGACAAGGCAATCATATTTGTGATCTCATTAAAAATTATAAAGCTGATGAGCAAAATCATCTGCCATGAGAAAATAGAACGGAGCAAACTTGAAAAAAGCAGATTATATTTTTCTGGCTGGTGACAGACCATCTTGTAGAGCCTAAGACAACATATTATCTTTCTGTTTCCCTCCTTGAGCACATGAGAGATTCACTTGGGTGTTTCACTTCCAGTCAATCTGTGTAAACGTTGCTTTCATTCTATTATTTTTGCAGGATTCATTGAACTGAAGGATTCTAAAGAGTTATAATCTAGCAGTTCTTTAGAAATACCTTGTGGACCTCACCTCAAGCAGAAAGAAGATAAGTGCTTATGTTTCAAAGTGCTAAAAGTCTGTGTAGGAAATCAACATTAGAGGGCACAACAGCACCAAGTTAGTATTCCAGTGCAGTAGAGCTATGTGGGTACCATCACATGAATAACACAGTTTTACTCTAATACATTTTCATAGATGAAGTGACTAATAATGTTAGACTAATAATTTTGTACATTATTTAATTGAGTTATAAGCTTATATATCTTTTAGTTCTTTTTCCAGTTTTTTCCTCAAGTCAGCCATTACCTGGGTAAAAATCATATTGATGTAATTTGTGATTGTGGTTCAGCTGCTTCAGTTTCTCTGTCACTATTTCATAGAAACGGTTACTAGAAATCAGAAAATGTAGGAGTGGGCAGATCTTACTCAGCCCTGATGAGGCACATCTGGAATGCTGTGTCCAGTTCTGGGCTCCTCAGCACAAGAGAGACATGGAGCTCCTGGAGCAGGTCCTGGGGAGGGTAACAAAAGTGATGAAGGGATCTCTGTTACATGGACAGGCTGAGGGAGCTGGGGCTGTTCAGCCTCGAGAAGAGATGACTGAGAGGGATCTCATCAATGTTTCTGAAGGGAGAGTCAGAGGATGGATCAGGCTCTGCTCGATAGTGCCCAGCAGTAGGACAGGAGGCAATGGGCAGAAACTGATGCACAGGAAGTTCCACCTGAACATGAGGAAGAACTTCTTTCCTGTGTGTATGACCATACACTGGACCAGATTTCCCAGAGAGGCTGTGGATTCTCCCTCACTGGAGGTATTCTGGAACTGTCTGGAGACAATCCCATGCCATGTGCTCTAGGATGGCTGTGCTTGAGCAGGGAGGTGGGACTAGATGACCCACTGTGGTCCCTTCTAACCTGACCCATCCTGTGATCTTCCCCAGCATATCTAAGTCAGGAAAAGGGATGCATTCAGGGCAACCAAAGTTAAGAGAAGTGTACAGATCTCAGAAGCTGGAGGCATAAATTGAACTTGCCAGTAACTCAAGATTCTATAGTGGTTCCCTGTATTGACAGTAGGCAGCAATTGGCCACTGTTTTCCAGGCCTAGATGGTGTGTAGTTGCTCAAATCCTTTGTTCTCTGTTCACCTTTCACAAAGGCCAGTGCAATTATGCACTTGTACTTGAAGCAAAGCAGGGAAATGTGTCTTCCTGGGCCTTAAGACTAACTTCCCTCTAAGAAATCAGAGAGGACCAAGGCTGCTATGGTGGTAGTGTAGACCATAGCTTAGCTTGACTTGCTCCTTTTCCTTGTACATTTGATTTTTGTCTCAAGAAGTCACTTCTCTGCTGATTTTGCCTGTGTAAGATGTCCAAAAGAGTATAGCAGGTGGCTCCCACTGACAGAGTAGGTTTAGCTTAGATATTAAGAACTTATTTACAGTGAGGGTGCTGAGGCACTGGCACAGGTTGCCCAGAGAAGTTGTGGCTGCTCCATCCCTGGCAGTGTTCAAGGCCAGGTTGGATGTTGCTCTGAGAAACCTGGTCTGGTGGAAAGTGTCCCTGCCCAGGGCAGGGGGGTTGGAACTAGATGATCTTTAAGGTCCTTTCTAACCCAAACCATTCCATGATTCCTTCATATTCTGGCACCTCATGCTCTTCAGTGCACTGCTCAGCTTTCTCTGCGACACAGCCAACATATCCTTGACCACCTTCCACTGTCATTGCCCAAACATTGTCTAAAATTTTCAAAGATGTGTTAAACTGTCCCCTTGATGACTGAAGGTCCACTGACCTGGGGAGCTGCTAACTGTGAGTTCCCTGTGTGAAAACAGAAAGTGATGATAATAACACAAGATTCTCAAATAATCCTCTCTCCCCAAAATGCTATTTTCTTTCTAGTTCAGGTGTGCACAAATAATGGAAAAATGAAGTTGTTGCTGGACAGAATAATTTATGAATGGTGGCACATGTTTTACAAGCCTTGGCTCATTTCAAAGGAGATTGGAAGGATTGTGTTTTGCTGGAAGGCTGTGAGCAAATGTGTCATGGGGAAAGTAGACATTATTGATTCTAAATGTCAAAAAAAGTGAGGAAATCAGTGAGATGTGTGGTGGTAGCAATAATGTTTTTAAAAAATTCAAAATCTTTTTTTTTGCATGAAATTTGACATAAGGGACAACTTTCATATATCAAGGGTATCACAGGTGTCTAAAGCACTCAAACTCTAGAATAGCTGCCTTGCTGTTCCATGAACTCAAGCAGTCACA